CTCTCTCTCTCTCTCTCTCTCTCTCTCTCTCTCTCTCTCTCTCTCTCTCTCTCTCTCTCTCTCTTTGTGTCAATTCAGTGTTTGGACACCTGAGCGGTGATGCTTCACTTTTCGGAGAACAGCGTCGTTGTAGTTGTCCTTGTGTTCCAACGTGAAGAATATCGCCTCACATAACCCGAAAAAGAAGTGAAGCTGTGCGTGAACCAAGCAGTCAACCCTTAGATTCAATTCTTTTGCTAGAGCAGGATAAATATCACATGGCGAGGGACATCATGGGTAAGGTTGTGCCAAAGGACATCTATGCACCCAGCTGGAAAAGCAGTTGCTGCGGTGATTGCCTGAAACACACTCTTCCATCTTAGGTCTCCTCCTCGGTGTACATCTGGTTATAGTCACACCTGTGAAAGCACAAGAACGACGTCCCATGGTACAATTGTAGTACCGTGCATCAGTTTTGTCTATGTGAGAGGTAATGACCGGGGTATGTGTGTGCACAGCTGCCTACAGTACGCAGCAGAACAGAGAATACTGCGTTCGCTCACCAAATAGGTCATCCCAAACTGACCGTTCTAGATATACGGAATCGAAAAAAAGATCGTTATGGAATCTCGACAGCCGATAACCGGCTGCACAAAGAACCATGCTGGAGGGCACGGAGGAGATGGGAGGGCAGACGACACACAAGCACACAAAACAGGCAAACCGGAAAAAAAATACGACTCTTAAAAAAACGCAAAGACCGGAAGAAACAAAACTGATGATGAGAGATTTGTTTCCTCGGACTTGCACCAATTCATCAGGAAGCTGAACCCTTGACACAATCCGCGGAATCTCCAATTTTGATGCTTTGGGTCGTGAACCCTTTGGCCCTTAGTGGCAACACCATGAGCGGAACTTAGCAGCGATCTACGACTCAGCAAAGCACCAGGTGACACTGCCGAGGCAACCCAACTGCTTTGCACTAAAGCTACTGCATGGAGTAATGGCACAAGCGGAAGGACAAGAAGGTTTTGGGGGGCCAGCTGAAAGAAACCAGTTTTCTGGTGACCAACCAAGCTGACGAGTGGAAAAAGGGATTTGAATTTTGAACCCTTAACCTGGCAATAACACAGCGAAGCACAAGGCAACACTGCCCAAAGGAAGACAAAGCATGCGGCTGGGCAGCAAGGCAACAGCGGAGCGAAGCACAAGGCAACACCAACAAGGCAGCCAAAGTATGTCGACACGCCAACTGCAAAGAAGGGCATGGGGAGCAAGCAGGATGCACAGCAAGGCAACAGCGGAGCGAAGACAATGCAGTCCACACATCCAATACCCCCTGGAGCAAAGCAGTACATCACCTACTCACACCACAAGTGAACCCCACAGACTGTTGGTTCCCACAACCCGTTGAGCAGGGGAGACACACCGACAAACATCGGTCATCACCTGTACGTCGCACAGGCATCCCAAGCTGAGCAGCCCCCCTAATAGTGCAGAAGGCACTCTAAAAGAGGAATGACGGACTTTTTGGCACTGCTTAGAGGTGCTGCAGACAGGCAAAGACACAGAGAATAGAGAGATAGACGTACACAAAAAGGATTGTGTGTGTTAGTCGAGATCCCCAAACTCTTTCTCTCAATCCATCCTCATACCATCACAAATTATCCATAAACAAAAAAAGTATAGACAAGCAATATATATAATAGAAGGTGCAAGGTTCCCCAGGTTTGTGTGGTTGAGCAGGAAGTGCCCACACACCCATCTGCCGCCTAAGCGGCGCGCACTTGGACAAATATATAATGAGTCGGTGAAACTCCGACGAAACAGTTTGTCACAGCCCTCGTTTGTTGTCCTTGTCTCCCTCTCTGCCTACAGTTTACCGTGACTGGAGTGTATTTTTTGGCTGTGACAGACCTTTCTTTGTTTCGTGGATGTTTTGCTGGCTTGTGATGGGGTGTGAACCGACAGTCTGTAGAGTTTTCCATCTGGTGTGGGTGAGTGATAGTCTACTTTGATTTTGGTTAAGGTAGATTATCATTTACAGTGTAATCAGTGAGGGGATTCTGCAGACTGTTGAGGGTTCAGCCTCCTGATGAGTCGGTGAAACTCCGACGAAACAGTTTGTCACAGCCCCTCGTTTGTTGTCCTCTTCTCCCTCTCTGCCTACGGTTTACCGGGCAGTTCTGTTTGTGACGATATATATATATGTAGTTTTTACAATCCATAAAAACAAAGGTTAAAAAAAAAAAAGGCAGAAGAAGACAACATACCTAACACAGAAGGCTCCACCAGCAAGAAAACACCGACCACTGGCACTCCTATCCCTCCCAAACAGCACAGTCACGCCACCACTATCTCTATCACTCCATGGCTAAACAGTCCCCATCTGCTGTCTAGCCTCTGGAGTGTATAGAGTACCATAATCCCAAAGACCACAAGATCTTCACGCGACACCAGGAGGGGAGCCCGCGGGAGTGACACACACAGCAAAGACTCTCTGAGCCTCCTCGCAAAGATGCCATGACCATGACTCCAAACAAAGATTCCTGCCCGAAAACTTTGCAGCCATTCACACACATACCTTCATCAAGAGACAGCCCATGCTCTACAGCAGGGCAAATAATGATTGTATGCGTGTGTGTGTGTGTGTGTGTGTGTGTCTGTGTGTGTGTATGAGAGAGAGAGAGAGAGAGAGAGAGAGAGAGAGAGAGAGAGAAAGAGAGAGAGATGTTGATCCCGACTTCATAAATCCTGAAGTACAAAATACACATTGTCCAAGGAATGCACCTTGAACAGTGAGTCCTGAGGTACACCAAACATGAGGGGGAGAGAGAGAGAGAGAGAGAGAGAGAGAGAGAGAGAGAGAGAGAGAGAGAGAGAGAGAGAGAGAGATGTTGATCCTCACTTCATGAATCCTGAAGTACAAAATATACATTGTCGAAGGAATGCATCTTGAGCAGTGAGTCCTGAGGTACACCAAACATGAGGGCATACATGGGCTCTGAAAGTCGTAGAACAGCAGCCTGGCGACAGTTGTCTGTACACCGTGGAAATAAAAAAAGAGAAAAAAGAGAAAACTGAAAAAAAGAGAAAAAAGAAAAATTGTAGAGAGTGTTGATCGTGATGGGTCTGTTTACAGTGACTCCACAGGCACTGCTCGTGAAGAGGAGGCAGGAAGAAGCAATGTCTGTACGAGCATGTTGCCTGCTTGGTGCTGTTTCCACCCCATGCGTTGTGGAAATGTTGCACGCCTGCTTGCCACACATGATAAAAACTAAAAAAGGAAAAAAAAGAAAAAAAAAAAGAGAAAATGTTGCACACCTGCTTACCACTTCCTTGGCGACGCAGCCCACGAGTGCAGAGATCGAGGTATAAGTGGCTACGATGAGCTATAGTTGGTGTGGTATGAGGCAAACATAACCTATAGTCGGTTGGGGTTTCTTCCTTCTTTCATTGGGGGAGGGGAAAAGACAGAGGCCATGACATCATGGCGACAAAGCCGGTCAGTATGCTGGCACTTTCTGCCACAGCAGTGACGGCACGCTTCATAAGCGAATGTGAAAAGAACAAAAAAGGAGTGCTAAATGACTACAGGTCCACCGAGATCAGGATCCCATCCCAATTCTTTGCTCGATTATGTAATCAATCGCTTATCTTACTTCACGCTCTACCCACTGTAAGAGTCTGAACCTCCTTCACAAGACCGACCATACAATACATACGTAAAAGAAAGCCTCAGCATCGATCAATCCAGCAAATTAGAATTGAAAGTAGACGCAAAGTGAGTGGCTTGCGGCTTTCTTTCTTTCTTTCTTTCTTTCTTTCTTTCTTTCCGTCACGAAACAAGTGAGATGCGTTGCGTAAATTCTCCGAGGATCCCAAACAGCTCGGCGGTCTAACGGCAGCGGGCTAGCACTGTATTTATGGGCAATCTTATTTTATTTATCAAGATGGCAACACAAAACCTCAACAGCGCTGTTGGAACATGCTATGTTTTCTCATCCCTTGTGGGCTTGTGACGAGTCTCATGCTCTACACACGACATACGGCGACATGCGTCTTTGTATTCACCATGAATGATAACAAGAGCATGGTGATCGAACATGTTAACAACATTTCATCATTCAAATGTTCACCACAGTACGTCCTGCCTTTTTTTTTTTTTTTTTTTTTTTTTTTTTTTTTTTTTTTTTTTTTTTTTTTTTTTTTTTTTTTTTTTTTTTTTTTTTTTACCAGAACCTCTTGGTTCTGGCTCCTGCCATTCTGGGGAGCAACAGTCCGGTTCCTATTTACCACAGTATATCACGCAATGGTTACTACCAGTATGGGGGTCAATAGTTTACGGCACCTTCATGTAATGGTTATGGGATCACTCCATGAACAAACAGCTTTTCATTCTCTTCTCTGTTGAACAATCAACTTGTCTGCCAGGAGAGAAAATTTAGGGGTATTAGGGGTTCTTTCAAGAACTTGAACCACCAGTACTTGGCCCAGCTATCGGCCACGGAAAAAAAAAAAAATTAGAGTGGAAATGTATCTAGTCGGATGAATTTGGGCGCTCTTTAGTAGCCCGTACATTTGCGAAAATTGTGGCGCAGTAACAGGCACGACTCTAGGAAGTACTGGTGGTTTAAGAAAAACAGCTGACCAGCTTAGGTCTCGGTTAATGATTAGCACAGCACATCATGAAATAGTCACAACACCAGCCCATAACGAACACCGATTTTGTTCTTTTTCTTTCCT